GTTGCTGTTGTTGCTGCTGTTGCTGCTGTTGCTGTTGTTGCTGTTGTTGCTGCTGTTGTTGTTGTTGTTGTTCTTGTTCTTGTTCTTGTTGTTGTTGTTGTTATTGTTGTTGTTGTTGTTGTTGTTGTTGGTGGTGGTGGTGGTGGTGGTGGTGGTGGTGGTGGTGGTGTTGCTGTTGTTGTTGTTGTTGTTGTTGTTGTTGTTGGGATTCTGAATTTCGTGCTTGCGAGGCCTCTTTCCAAGGCCGAAGCCCTGCTGCCTCAGGCAGAAGCCAAGGAACCTCCTCATGCTCCCATTCTGGGTTTGGTCCCAAAACCTACAGTCCTAACGCAAAGGCCTAAAAGTTTTAATTCCTATGACACAAAAATCTGAAATCAGGTTTAGGAGTCAGGCCCCTTGTCCTGAACCCATATGATGTAGTCTGTCAGTTCGGCCCCTGGCATGACTGTTGCTGGTGGTTCGTCCCGACAAGCTACGGGCGAAGTAACTGCGGGCAAGTCTTCCGGAGACCCTGAAAGGGAGAAGTCTTGCGACTGGGTTTTTGAGGGTTGAACCACTGGGGTTTATTCAATGTAGGGTCTCAAAAATACTTCGACTCGGGTTTAGGGGTATACTATACTATAATTAGAATAAGGAACCCCCCCAAAATGGTATAGGTAATTATGTAGGCCCCTCTATTACAGGATTTCTGGTTGAGGGTTCGGGCTTAAAGCGGCTTAGGGTTTAGGGCAGTTCAGGCTTCAGGTTCATTGCCCGGGCTTAAACCCTTAAACCCTAAACCCCTAAACCGGGTTTGGGCTGGAGCTGACTCTGCGCTGCCGCCAAGATGTCCAAGAAGCACGAGGTCAAGCATGCCGCGAACTTGAAAAAGAAAGAAGAGGAGAAGGCGCCAAAACTGCAGTCGGAAAAGCCTCAATCTTGGCTTTCTGAACCCGAAGTCCTCAAGATCCACATCCTTCCTCCCTTATTGCCCCGACTGAAGAACCACGTGTGTTAATGCCCTGAAGAACATGTCATGACATGGTGCATCGGTTGGTCAGGATTGGAAAAGGGCCGTAAAGTGTTGGGCCAGTAGGGCATGGGAGGGCACGTGGGCAGGCTGTGTTCGGTTGAGAAATCGAGAGTGGTTGCTCTCGTAGTTCGTAAGTAGAGTTCTTTGCAGCGCTAAGGTATCCGGGACGTTGGCGTTTACCGGGACTATACAGGTATGAAGATGCGGCATTCACGATGAGAGTAGCCTGCTTGCTGCATGTGTTGCAATTCTATGAAGGAGGACTTGGATTGATTGCTTCTGCTGCTATGGCTATCTAGTAAGCTTGTTTCATCCAGCCTGTGCTACAAACTCTTCGACTCATCCCTCATCTGAAAGATTGACCGGTGTGTTGTCCGCGTAAATAAGGTGACTGGAGTGCTGAGGGTGATGGAGTAGCTCGGTTTCGTCCAGGTTGAGCTCTACTCCTCACGGCGTGCTTGGACTGTGAGGAGTATGTCTTCAAACGAAGTACTCGTGACTCCCCAACAAGACTGTGTCATCAGCATGTTCCAAATCTTTGCTACTCAGAGTGTTTTGGGAAGTGCCTTGGCACAAACCGTCGAAGGAACTTAAAATGGAGAAGATTCCTAAACCGTATAAATCCGACACCCTTGAAGGAACTCATGGCTATGGAGAGGACGCCCAAACCTTGAACCCAAGCCTTAAACCCTAGAGCCCTAGAAGAATTGAAGCATCTGATGGAGACCATCCCCGATCCTTCCCAAACCCCAAACCATGAACCCTAAGCCTCAAAGCCTTGAAGGAACTTATGGAGAACCTTAAATCCCAGAACCCAACACTTTAAGCCCTAAGCCCTAAATCCTAACCCCTAAACCCTAAACCCTAACCCAAAATCCCTAACCCATAAACCCTCAACCCTAAACCAAAAACCCTCAACTCTGAATAACCAAAAACCCACCAACCTGCAGAAACTCATGGAAGACATCAAGAAAAGGAAGCAGCCGTTTTCTCGGCAAAGCCCTGGTACATCACGGGCTTCAAGGGTTCCGATGTAATTTTTGTTGGGGGGGAGGCAGATAGGGAGAAGATCCCCTTAAGACTTCCTTTACGAGTTGTATAAGGGATCCATAGGGGTTTCGGGTGTAGAGGGTCGGAATAATTACTCAAAATATGTTCCCACTATCGACAGTTTTAGAATGTAACTCAATTGTACCCCCAAAGGCCTCTCTTTGTTTCGCGCCTCTGTTGAAGTATATGGCAGCTTGATTAGGGTCGTCCTTGAGACAGCATGGAACCTTCGAAGAGGAGACTACCGTCCATTAAGAGGGTGCATCTGGAATTCCATGTGTTAGAGCTTTCGGTTGCTACGACTACTGGCGGGTTTGTCGCTGTACATCATGTCAATGAAACCATGGACCGAAGGCCAATGCCGTCTGCACGTTTCGATCTTTCAGCATCAGCGTTCATTGCATCAGTCGTGCGCATTGAGCTTCCCAACTTCGATCACGCCTCAGGCCCCAGTCTAATTCCATCATGTCGTTGCTTCAGGTTTCTCGGACATTGGTATGTTGGATGTCGAGCCAGCTCAGCAACTCCAACAGACAGCCACACGCACACAAGGTCATGAAGTCTGAGGGCGTGATACGGGTGGAGCCATGCTGCTGCTGCTGCTGCGACCACTATTACTACGGCTGCTACGACTACTACGACTACTATACTACTACTACTACTNNCTCCTACTCCTACTCCTACTGCTATTGCTATTGCTATTGCTACTGCTACAGCTGCTGCTACTGCTAAGATTCGGTTTGCTGCATGTCGCACAAAGAGCACTGCCACTGCGAGCTCTGATACCGGTCAGGATCTTGACTGATAGCAGCAACAACCAGGCCAGTTAGTACACCAAGGTCATTGAGAAGGTCCTAGGTGATCCATGTGTTGCCTACGCCACCCAGGAAGCACCAGAATGATTTGGAGACGGCCAAGACACAGGCAGCAGATATTGAGTGCTCAGTTGTGTGTGATCCTTCCTGGAGTCACTGTGTACGGACTCGCTATGCTCCTAAAAATGCACTGCAAAGGGTACCACATGTCCCGGATAGTTATGAACTCGACCAGCACGGCACCAGGCCCTACAAACCCGGTCTTGGAAAACCTTGCGGTTTAGGGTTTAGGGTTTAGTTGTGGTTCGGAGGCACGTCTGGGCTGTTCTAAAGGACTGGCTTTAAATTGACTGTGCAATCACCAGTGACAGTAACCTAGTAAGACACTATGCAGGTTATGGGGACACCTGAGTGGCCTGAAGTCACCGATGCTAAAGGGGAGCTTCATTCATTAAGCACTGACTCGCAAGCTGAACATACCATAGGGGCTTTAATAATGACCTATACTAATTTGGGGGTCCTTATTAGAATTGTAGTATCGTATGCCCCAAAACCCTATTCTAATTATTACGGCCCCTACATCAACCTTGTTCTGAGCTGTAGCAGCCTAAACAAACCCCTGAGCTCTACATTTGGGCCCTGCTGAGCAGGTTTTTGTTGGGTGACCGTCTTATGCTTCGGGCTTGCAATCCCCCGAACCCTAAACCCCCAAACCCCCAAACCCCTGAACCCTAAACCCCTAAACCCCTGAACCCTAAACCCTAAACCAAGGGACTCTAGTGAGTTAGGGCCGAACGCTTCTGTTTAGTACTGCAGTACCTGTTCGCCAGCATCGAGGTCAGACTGCAGCTTTGCAAAGCCCAGAAAGCCTCCAACCCTAATCTACTTTAGGGTTCCTTATAGGGTTTAGGGTTTAGGGGTTTAGGGGCTTAGGGTTTAGGGGGCATAGTCTAGTAACATACTATACCCCAAAATCCTATTCAAGAACGCTGATGCTTCAGCAGGTGCTAGGTTGTGACGTAGAGGCCTAATGGTTCAACCAGGGTTTGTGGCTGTGGGGGCTGTATACGATACCACGATCCCAAAGCCAGGACATGTAGACAGTAACTACTGCACAACCCTAAACCCTAAACCCTAAACCCTAAACCCTATAAATAGAAGGCTCTAGAGCCTGATAAACTGAAGCAAGAATCTCAGTCAGTGTGCTTTTGTATGGTATGCTCCCGAACGCCATGGATTAACATTTCCGGGATTCAACGCCGCATGCAACAGCCACAGTACGCCCTAAACCTGAAACGCCTGCCCTCCGACCATGGCCCACGCCAGCTGAAAACCCTCGGGAAGCAGTACTTTGCCGACGAGGAGGCACTCGAATTTACGAACTTTTTTGGTTATCTAAAGGCTGCTACAATTAGGATGTAGGGTTACTGTAAGTTTTATTAATGGTGTTGCAGGGATTTAGTGTCATAACGTTTCTATAAGTCATGCCTCGAGAAGGGCTATGAGAACCTCACGAGCTGTGTTCTCTCGCGGTCTCTTTGGTATTTGGTGGATTAGGGCTTAGGGCTTCGTTACGGCTCTATAGTTTCAGGGTCTATTGTTCATAGTGTTCGGTGTTGTGTGATCTTGATGTGTGCTTCCAAGGTTAGGGCGCTCACAGTGTCTTTCTAGACTTGGGCTTAGGGTTTGCATGCAACCAGAAGCTCCCAACCCAGTGACAGAGGAGTTGAAAGGTTTAGGGTTTAGGTCGAACTAGAATTCGCACAAGATTTCGTAATTCTAGAGACCTCGTTCGATCTTATAAAGGTGGCCCCTTTGTGTAACCTTCGCTCCGAGTCTGGCCATTACTTTATCAACATGCTATCCCTAAACCCCCAAACCCTAAGCACCTAAATCCCTAAACCCNNCCCTAAACCCCAAACACACCCTAAACTTCCTAAACCCCCAACAGAAAGAAAAGTAGCTCTGGAATCTTAGTCCCGAAACCGTATAAATTCCCACGCTAAAGCAAAAGACAAGAGTACCGCGGCAGCCCCTCTAAGTCAGGTACGTAGAAGTGGAGTGAATTTTTGTGAAATAGTGGAGTTTAGGAGTATATAAGGATCATGCAGGGGCTTTGAGATTCGGTTGCAGGCTGTGGTTTTCGGGATAGGACTTGCTCTGCTGAAAATTTTCGGTCTCGGATGCACGCGTGTGCCGGGGGGGGGGGGGGGTTGACGACGCGTTCCTGAGCGGAGTCATCCGTCCGGGGCAGGCTACGTAAGCCCGAATCCACAGGCCTGTCCTTCAACCCCTCATTAAGCTCTCGTTTGCTTACTCAGCATTTAAACCCTAAACCCTAAACCCTAAACCCTAGACCCAGGAATCCTCTAGACCGTACCTATACCCTCGACCGTAAACTCCCAAATCCTAAGCCAAAACCCACACCTCCAACACCGAAACAGCACCGTTTTGCAATGCTGTTCAGCGAGAGAGTTGTTGCTAAGTCAACATCATCAGCACCACCAGCACCATCAACACCGACCCGTGCACAGGGTGTAGATCGTAGATTTTCGAGCAAAGGGCTCACCGAAAACCTTAGAACCTTGGAAAACGTTCGAAGCCTGGCCGCTTCGGACCCATTTCCGATGGAAGGAATACTTGCTGCACAGCGACAACTGGTCGTCCAACTTTGATGACCGCCTTTGGGTCAGGGACACCAAGAAGGAAGATATAGGTTCTGCACTCAGATCGGTGAGTTTTTTTGCCAGGCTTTTCCTAGGCACGTTTGGTAGGTAGTCTCAGTTGGGTACCAGTGCGTAGCAGGATGAAGACCAGTGCTCTGTAACGTACTTACCAGACCACGGCCCAAGGGTTTTTTGAGTGTGCCATTGAGCTACACTTAAGCCTTGGCGTGGTCTTCCTGGGTTTAGGATTTAGGGTTTAGGGGTTTAGGGTTTAGGGTTTTGTCTGTGTGGATGTTTGTCCCGTGCCGCTCACTTGGTTCGCGCTCTTAGGTGTTTGAAGAAATTCTGCTGGTGCCTCCTCTATAACCTTAAGCCCTAAACCCCAAACCCTGCTGATTGCTTGCTGCTGGTGCTGCTGCCACTTCTACTCTGCCAACTCTGCCACTGCAATACCAACACACACGAATACAGGGGCCTTAATCCTTAGCATTGTTTTGGGGTATAATATTATACTGAATTATACTATAAGTAGAATAAGGAACCTCCAAAACCCTATTCTAATTATTAAGGCCCCTACATTACAATGACTTCTTGCTGTACGATTCTTCCCGCTCGCAACATTCCCTGCGGCTACCTTCCTACAACTGCCTGCGATTGCTACAGCTACTCTGTGCCCCTGTTGAAATTGCCCCCGAATTGCTGCCCGTACATGTTGCCAACACCTTGTCGGCATGTTGTCAGAGATATGCATGCGCTGCCTTGCGCATGCAACTCGCCGATGGCAGATTGCAAACCGTAACTCGCGTGCACATGCCGTGCAATCTATCTACTGAACGTGGCTCCCTTCGACCAGACCCCAACATCCAAACCCTTAAAAACCTCCCCCCAGCCCCCTGTAGCATCAACAAACACACCCTCCGTAGCCTCCCTCTCATCTTGATGTGGTGCGGCTTTGATTGTCCTGCTACAGTTTCCCAGCAGGCTGCTAAGGGACAGCGGAATTTCAACGCCATAGCGACCAAAAGCTACTTTTTGATGATATGCAGGTCGTGCAGGTTTCTATTTCTTTAAGTAGCCTCTAGAACAGATCGTCGCCCTGAACGAAGATGTAAGCTACTCAGGTTCTTAGTGTGTGTTTGTTGCCTCTGATTGGGTGTTTTCTTCATAGAAGAGTGAATCTGAGCCTGGACATGCAACGGAGTTCGGCTTAGGCGACCCACTTCCACGGCTCCCCCAGCCCTAGGCCCTAAACAGCAAAAGCAAGGTAAGGGCTTCTGGCTCGAGAGCAAGACTGGCTCCGAGATCTCGCTCAATGGCTCCATGACGTTGGAGAAACTCCAACAGATGCAGCCCGGACTTTGTGCCTAAACCCCTAAGCCCTTAAACCCTAAACCCTAAACCCCTAAGCCCTTAAACTCCTGAACCTAAACCCCGAGCCTCCTAAGACTGCTGAGAAGGGGTCCTCAACAAAAAACACGGGACCCTAAACCCTAAACAGAACTCGAAACCCTAAACCCTAAACCCTAAACCCTGAACACTAAACCGTAAACCCCAAACCCTCACAATCCTCTGGATTCAGGATCCAGGGTTAAGGTGCTCAGGCTTTTGAGTCTGCTGTTTGGTGTAGGGGTTCGGATTTAGAGTTTAGGGTTTGGGGTTTAGGATTTAGGGTTCGGATTTAGAGTTTCAGGTTTGGGGTTTAGCATTCATGGTTGGGGTGTAGGGTTTAGGATTCCGGATTTAGGGTTTAGGGTTGGGGTTTAGGGTATAGGGCTTGAGGATTCAGGGATGGGGTTGAGGGTTCAGGATTTAGGGTTGGGGTTTACGGCTGCAGGATGTAGGCATGGGTCTGGGGCTCAGGGTCTAAAGCCAGGGTATGTATAGGGTTTAGATATAGAGATTTAGCTTCGAGGGTGCACGATCTGGCATTGAAGTAAAGACGTACCAGTTCTTGGAATGCCGACAGCCCTGAACCCTAATGTAGCGACCTAAATACATACCAATAATATTTTTTGGGGCTACGATGATATTAATATTTATAGTATAATGGGCCCCAAAACCCTATTCTAATTATTCAGGCCCCTATACTAAACCCTATCGCGCATGACCCCCCCCAAGCCCCAAGAACTGGCATTGCTGAGGTCACCGGATGAGCAGAAGAAGCACTTCCCGCTGAAGATCACGTGGAAGCTCTACAAATTGTCCAACATCACCGAGGTGCAACTGAACTCTGAGTTGATATTACTACTAGTATTACCATTAGTAATGCTATTAGCATAATATTACCAAGGGTTTAGGGTTTGCGTCTTCAGGGTCTAGGGTTTTTGGGTTTAGGGTGTGGAGTTTAGGGTTTAGGCTTTCGGGTTTAGCCAAATCCGAACACGGTGAGATACAGGCCTTGGCGTTCAGTGATAACAAACTAAACCGACGTCCTTAGCCTTCAACCCTCAACCCTGCCTAGATGCACTAAACGCTATACCCAAGTATGCTATAGAGGCCAAGTAATTACCAATATTGCTACATTGTCCTAAGAAGCCAGGGACCCGATGCTCAAGTCGCCACTCCGAAAACCGCTGTCCCATGGCTGCAGGATAAGGATGGGCCGTCCGGGAGACCCTCCTGGTTCCCAGAGGCCGAGTTTCGGGTGGAAGGAATAAAAGGGTTTCAGTTTAGGTTGTGGGGTTTGGGGCCTAGGGTTTAGGTTTTCGGGCCTAGGGTTTAGGGTTTAGGGTTTAGGGCCTAGGGTTTTTAACAAGTTGTAGGGTTTAGCGGATTGAAGTTTAGGGGTGAAGGATTGAGCTTTAGAGCGCTTAACACCTGAAGGGTTGTGTCGTTTCCGATCTGCAAGACGTGGGTTCAGAAACTATGTCAGGCTCGGGTGGCTTGTGTGTGAGTCGCTTGATTTGCCCCGAAACCCTAAACGCTAAACCCAAAGCCCCTAAACCCGCAGCCCTAAACCCTAAGCCCTAAACCCAACGCCCCTAAACCCGAAGCCCTAAACCCTAAACCCAGCGCCCCTAAACCCGAAACCCTAAACCCTAAACCCTCTTGGCGTGTTGTCACCGGCTGCTTGGTGGCAGTGTTGGGGCTGTAGGTTTCTTGGAGATCATCCCCACGACTCGAGGGTCAAAACAGAATCACGCTGTGCGAAGGCGGCAATGCGTCCATAGGAACACCAGACACTTAGACGGATGCATGCTTGTTAGTACTACATATCTCATGCAGCTCATGATTTCCACTTATGGCCACCTGCATAGACTCGCACACAGAGACTTAGACACACACACACACACACATA